CGACTAGGCAAGCCCTAAGATATCTCTATAATTCTAAGAACTTTAATGTGTATGACTAATAAAATCAAGAGCGGGAAATTACATTACTTTAAATGATTCAGTCCAGATACAAATAAGGTTACAGAATGATACACGAAGTAAAGTTGTCTGGTCCTGATTGTGTCTTGTTCTTTTTTTATTGAGCATTATAACATTAATATCAGTAAAAGATAGTCTAGTAGTAATCAACACCAAATATTGCGACATAGCTTGAAGAATACTGTGACAATACAGCTTGATTCGTTGAGTCTATCATTTTATAGTTGACTTATCGTGGTTCTTCAACTGAAGAATCAATTGCCTGGTTTCTCGATCAATGTGTTCTACAAATTCAGCTGCACCAGAGAAGAAAGCTATATCTGACGTATAATCAGACAACTAAGCTAATGAGTTAGTTAGGGCCTTCTTAGAAACCTAATTAACGCAAACACTGTAACCAAAACTGATATCGAACTTCATTTATAAAAACCATGTGTTTTAGTGGGTTCTGGTTAGACAGTAATCTATTTCAGTTTATAAAACTGTTTTAAATCATATTTTTGAAATATAGGCTAGTAGCCCAATAATGAACAAGTAAGTTGCTGAAACGACATAGTTTTTTTAATGCTTCATAGCTTTCAATGGTTCTTAATCAAAACCTCATTTTTGTCTGCTTTTTCTCTTATTCTATACACATTTGAAATTTAACGGGCTTTTAAACAATTTATTGAAGATTACCGATTAATTGCATAATATAAGTTTGATTTCATCTCATCTAACTTACCAGCATTAACTTAACAACGAAGATAATAGAACATAAGGTTTTTCAATAAACTGTTCATAACTTAATTGTTATGAATCAAATATTAAGCTTTTATAAGCAAAGATGAATAGTGGCTAGCAGTGGAATTCAGGACGCGCGTTTCGTCCTATTTAGGACATACGCACAGTATGCACATATGTCAATAACAGACTGATCAATTGTAGTCTTAAACCTCAATGAGAAGATACAAGTAAAAATACCAAGTGAATTTAAATATTAAGCTTAATTTGACAATAATCGTGTTGACCAATGAAAATTATTTGAAAGTATTCTAGGATTAAAATTTTGAAAAATCATCACTATAAAAGCACATGGTAACCTTAAAATGAAGCTTTTAGTTTCCGTCTACTTCTATATAAAAATGTGATCAGATTAATTAGAGACAAGTAATAATCGAAAAGGTTATGCGATAGCATAATTAAATCGATTAATCATTTCAATGGCAATATATGCATATCTAACCATAAGCATGTATAATTATCTTTACTACACAAACTGGCAAAATACAGAAACGGATTCATATTCCCATTTTTTCAGTGTTTTGATGTTGGGCTACATTTTATACCCTCAGCTCCTATCTTAAAAGTACTAAATCACTTAAAGATTTAATTTCACTTTTTCCTTGTTTGCCATTGTTGTGAATTGGCAGTTCATAGTGGGTACGCACTATCGTTGAATAGAGGTTTTGGTTTTAAAGTCTTATTTAATAAAGAAGTTTCATTCCATTTAACACTCGAAAATAACAGGTCTTTTTATTTCAGAAATTGATAGTTATATAATTTAACGTTTATTTTATTGAACCGATTTTATAATTTAACTATTAATAGTGAACTTTTAGTTTCTTTACAGAAATATTACAATAATCTTTTGGAAAAATTCATTTCATTTATGATTAGTAAATATGAATATATCTGATTGATTCACTCTTTATTTCGTTCTGTTTATTCAACATTAAACTGAAGTGATAAGGAAATGAAGATATGCTCACTTTACTCAATTTATATAACAAAAATGATAACTAGGAACTAAAAATTCTAATATCATTTATATAATTATTTATATTATTCAATGATCGTTACCCAGGAACTTTTACTGTGGTATTTTCAAATTAACTGAGAAACATAACTAGATTCAAAACCAGCACCTTTTAAATTATTGACTGAAAATAGTTAAAAAATAATTGAAAACTGGGTAGAAGTGTAAGCTTATTTTGTCCTACTGTTAAACACCCCAGTAGTGTGCAACAACATTTGGAACTGAACCCAAAACGAATCTAATTTGCATTGGTCGTCAAAATCCACCCACCTAAACCGTTTAGCTATCTTTACCAGCATTATGATTCCTTTTCATGATCCTGAAGAAGTAAAAACGTTTTCTTTTTTAAGTAAAAATCTTGTGTTAAACCCATGAATCTGAAATTCTATACATACCATGTTCTATGTTTGGCTTCATTAAGTGAGATTGAAACATTATCTTTTTTGTCATTTGAAATATAACTGAGAGTACATTTAATAACGTTTATGTTTAACATCAACTGGTGTCAAGTTATTCATAATTAGTCCGGTATACGAATATCGAGCATTCTTTAAATATCATCAAAAATTTTAATTTCCCTATGTATACTTTATTCATCTTTTGGTTATTAATTGTTAGTTTCAATGCAACTAATCAACTTGGTACCAGTTGATACGCTTAACTTTTCACTGTACACTCCACATAAGGGTTTATGATATAATTTGTTTATTCAAACCAAAGTAGATGACGTGAGATATGAATCCATTATTCAATGGTTGTTGAAAATCAAATGTCACAGACTGAAATCATGAGTCAGTTGAAGCTAGACCACCATGGAAAACCTGAAAGCACTGGACGGCCTTTTCGTCCTAGTATGGGGCTCTTCAGCAGTGCGCATCCACGATCCCGCACCCCACGCACGAGCACTTAACCATTAGACCACTGAGCTGGCATCCAACGGTGTTAATGTCTAACTTCAATTTCAATCTGTTAAATTTCTAAAATCTCCACAAACCCCTTCTAATGAAAATCAAATGATCTAACCATTCACTAACAACATCATCTATATATATTACCTACTTCATTATCAAACAGGTTTCATGAGAAATAGGATATTTTCAGCATTTCTTTGGCTAATTCATATTCATTAATTTGAGGTATTTATTGAATGATGGATCACAGTTACCACCATATACATAAGCTTTCATTGAAACTGTCAAAACAGAAACTGTGGCAAATTTTTAAAGAATATTTTATGAATTGATAAAGTTCAACCTAAAAGTCTGTCAGTTGTATGAATATTTGTCTAATTTTTTTTTCGAAATTATCTGTTTTCTATTTTTGGATAACGGCATGTGATGGTTTGCTAATAATTATATTTTCTGGTTATTTAAGTTGGATGCATAACATAGTACAATATTTGTCAAAGTATCACATGAGTATTTATTGAGATCATTTGAGTAATCGGATTTAACTTTTTATATTGTTTTACAAGTCATCTTTAATCTGAAGTTATCAGAAGATCATAAAAGATTATAGCTCAGTATAAAAAAATCTAGTTGATATTAATATAAATTTTCTTATGAAATCTCCAAGATACTATTGATTATCAACAGAAATGCAAAAAGCCATACATTCATAACATTTACGTTTATAGGATTTTAAAACAATTCGATAAACATTGATAGCAACTCTTCTACAACCAATTTCGATTATGGTTAATTTTGGTTAGTACCTTTTATCGACTTACTTAACAGACAATGTTATTTGAACAGTAACAATTCGTATATCTCCTTTGTACGTTATGATCACTAGATCACATGATAAATTCTGGATAATATATCGATAATTCATTCTCCTCCCTATGTATATGTGTACTCAAATCCTATTATTAGCTTTTGCTTTGCATTGGTGCGCCTTTATACAATTTGACTATAAATTTGCCTACGTAATTGCTCACATATACATATTTGCCTCTCTGTCTGCTTCAAATTCGCTTGATGCGCTTATAACTTTGTGATCTTCGATATCCGTAAATAAAACTGTAGTTGCTGCTTCTCATTAACTTCTGATTTCAAACACCGTTGAAATTTATATAACAAAGGTTACACAAGTGTGATTGATTAACGAAACAAAGCATTAAAAAAGGATCGATAATTGCAACATTATAAGGGTAAACTGACTAAACCACATATTTCACTATTTCAAAAATAAAAAACGCGAAAACATCACTCCTGTTTCAACCTTATTGTAATTTAAATTCACTTGGTGTAGTTTAACTTGTACCTTCCGATTGTTATTTAGGACTGCGATTGATTGTGCTTTTCACAAACGCTGTATCTTTTTACCCGAGTGAAATCTACCTTGATTTCGTTCTTGTTCAAACCGTATATATTACAGAATTCACACCAGTTTACAGGGAGGATCAACTTGATATAAATAGTAACATTAGATGTACAGAATAAACATGTGATAGAAGAAAGTTTTAAGTATACTAGTTCAGTAATTGTTTAGGTGGTACATGTATTACAGCGATCCAATGCATCAACCGGGAACTTTTGATATTTCTTAAATTTACAGCCTGTTGATTTATGAACTTATTAATTAAGGCCATTTCGTTTGCCAAATTGAATTAATGATAATTATTTACAACTAGAGAAATTAAAACGAAAACAGAGAGCACGGAACAACAAAGCAGTAATTACCAAAATATATCGTTCAGGTCTACCAAAATGCGTGTGTCATGTGACACAGTGATATACTGTTGATGTTAGATATTATTCAAATTATTTAAAGTTGCTAGGGTCGGTGTTAACATAAAGTGATAGCAAGTAGGTTGTTTTGCTTAGGAAATGCACTAATAAAAATGGCTAAACATTTAAAGTTCCTGTAATATCACTTGTGGGAAGAGATACACTTACAGGTGCTAGAATATTCAATGCATTTTCAGAGGAGCAGTATGCATCGATGCAGCGAACAAATAATGGAAGTGATTTTATCGTACGGATAGATTGTGGTAGGTTATTCCAGAGTCTAGAAAATTTACAGGTAAAGTAATTCATATAAAGAGATGATTTAGAATAAGTTTGTTTCACTAGTACCAAGGAATTACGAATGTCATAATGAGAAGTTTCGGCATATTGAATCACGTAAATAAATTATAAAAATTATTTGATGGCCATTGGCTAAACAACTGGAGTTCCGTTTTTGCACCAATTAGTGACAGACCATCACGAAGCCATGCAGCTTGTTTGACAAAACAACGATGATTACTACCACCACGCAAGGCAGTAATTGAAGAATATCGCCAACAAGATTCTTGTTGTTGTGTTGGCATTGATTTCTTCTTTTCAATTGATATAAGAGGTGATAATGATAACGATGACGAAGAGTTGAAGTCAGCTATGACTATACGAGTACAAGCGATAGGTTTCCAATCTACATACACTTCACCAATTGTAGTCATTAATGTTGGCTGACATGCATGCCCACCTCGTAGTTTATTACGACTTAATGAAAGATTTAGACAGACCGGTGCGAAAATAAATATTTCTGAATCAATAATGATTGATAGTAAATGTCCGCCATCGTCTGCATTAACCCAATCCCATCGAATGGATAATAACTAATGATTGATTGAGAAGAGAAAGATTTTAAAATCAAACAACCATACATAAAACCGTAGAATCCAAAGATCAGTGGACTAGAGGTTAGACGTTCACGCATGAGACCGAAAGTCTTTAGCTCGATCCCTGTGTGCAGAGTTGCCAACGCGCAACGACGCTGAGGCGTCCCAAATTAGCATGAAATGACTGTACAGTGCTTCCAGGTTTTCAATGGTAGTCTAACATTGGTCGCTTTATGATCTCAATGAAATTCTACATGAACTAAGGAAACAAGGCCTGTTCTGTAAAACAAATGGCAGAGCTATACCGACCTATAAAATATTGAGAACCATACCTATTAAGCCAATTAATATATGATAAATATTTACGAATTACGCATTACGCTACAACCAGGCATGGTAGTTAATGTTAGTACGACATAACAAACCTTAGCCCTAACTCTTAATCTTAATTCCCAGCACTATTTCCTAACTCTTTTTTAATGAGTGCGTTGTAACTTTAAAGCGGTTTGAACGCTCACCATTGGAGTGGCAATATAGCTAAGTTTTACCGCAAACGAATTAGTGTTTGTGTAAAACAAAAGTTTATGATACTTATTTTAAATTTGCGTGCAAAAAGCTGGTAAATTAGAAGGATAGAGATGTAGGTATTATATTGTGTTCAGTTAAATGCATACATATATACTAAAGAAACTTGATATAACGGTTTAGTTAAAATACTTTTCTTCCCGTGGTATACCACGACACCAGTATTATACATTAAAGAGATTGGAACGGATGATCCATTTCAGAATGCCACTACACACCACTGCATACTCGAACGATCCATAATGCACAGACCAGATCATCTTATAACAGATACCTCCGTTCACAAACAAGAATAAATAACCAGAGTAACACTTGACAATACTTTATTCTACACAATTATAGGTAGTTACACTCAGTGAGTCTGGAGTAGAAAATCAACGGAAGGGAAGAAAATCACATATTGAATTGTTAGTAAGCTGATTGACTGTTTGTTCATACTTAATGACTGGTCACATTTACTTTCACAACCACACATCAAACTCACTTCATACTGGAGGGTTTCGCTAAGAACAGCTCAAGTTATCGATTGTTTTTGTTATCACATATCAGTTGGTTATTTAAAGGATAGTTGCGATGACAGTTTTCTATGATGACATTTGCAGCTATTTCATCAGTTGTAACAATTTTCAGTTTGCTAAAATTGTTGTGTGCTGAAGTCTTCCAGTGGTAATGTATGGAACAAAGTTAATCTATTTCCATTTTTTCTTCCTTTCGGGATTATAAAGCTAACCTGAAAGTCCCGACCTCTGTTTCATATAGATATGTAGAATAATAACGATGAGTTGTTGGTGAATTTCAGTTGCCGCTATATCGAGGACTCCATAAAATACCTTCGTATAAGAATAAGCTCAGTTGGTTTATAATTATCAAGTAGTGTAGGCCCAAACTGAATTTAATATCAACATAAAAAAAATCCAGAGTAATCTTCATATTTCTATTGAGACTTATTACTGGGTACAAAATACGAAGTAAATACAAACGGTACCTTTAATAAACAAAATATGATTCAGTTTTATCGGGATTCATGGATAGACCTTAGCTATTTTAATGAGGAAATAGATCTGATCTACTGATTCACCTGATCTTGTACAGCAAGTTATATGGAGTGTAGCCAGAACTCGCCTTCAACACGGATATCAGAACACATTTTAGCATTATTATATTAACTTCGAGAGGAAAGCGGTTAGGAGATTTACCTTTGAACATCAAGTCGACTCTAATCAATCAACTGACGGACAATGTTGTGTGTAACATTGGTTCAGATCTCTCCTCTGCATCTAACGAAACAGCCACCTAGTGATTTCAGGCCCTTAATGGTGGTCTAATTAGGATCAGTTCATAGTTTAGATAGCGAAAATCTTACAGTCTCTACAAATCCCTGTATACTAAATCGATAAAAAAAATATATCAATAATCGATTTTTTGAAGAGAAGAACTGTCTTCACAATGAAAATCTAAGAAACAAAACAATCATTATAATATATAATTCAGAGTGAATTTTCCACACACACATACAGAGAAAAAATTACCTTATCAATATTATTTTGAAAAAGACAATATTCCGATGTTAATTCAATGATATCTTCTAATATCCATTCGTATCCACCTAGAAATATCAAGTAAATAAATAACATTGAAAAGGAATTTCTTTATCAACTTGTTCATTGAGTATTTATAGACTAAATAGGACAATAGTGGCATGATTATAGGTCAGTCGAAATTGACATAGTTTATATTAACAGAGAGAAATTATGAAAAGTACTTTTCTTCTTCATTGTTCTATTCAATACAAAGATAGTAAGACATGTGATAAGTGTAGATGCTATAACAATGTTAAAAAAAATAATAATATAATGAGACGATGGAGAAGATTAAATTGTCTGTATTCTTATTTCAGAAGAACTACAATGGACATGAAAAGGATGGATAGCAACTGGAAAGGACTGTCATATGAAGGATAAAATAATTTGCAAAAAACATAAATCCCATCAATAAAATTTATTGACAGTAAACTGGATTAGTTTAATACTATAATTATATCAGAATGAAGTAGTCATTATCTACCAACCAAACTCATATTAAGTTTTAATTAGTAGCACAAAAAGTGAACTTTTAACCTGGTTACTATATATATATATATATTTTTTTTTTAAAAGGACTAGTGAAGTTATCCATATTTGAGCTTTAATGTTATGTTGGCCTTAGTATTTTATAAACATTTCACTCTAGGTGATTATCTTTAAAGAAAACAAAACAATAAACGTGGATTTGTCTAGATGAAAACAGATTAAAATGACATTGTACAGTTTTTATAGTTTATAGTTTATTTAACTAATGTTCAAGTTAGATAAATAAATAACTAAATAATTGGCATCATTCTACGGTCAAAATGAAGTTTGACTGTTTTGATAAATATTTCGTTGAAATATTTCGAATTAGTTTGAACATTTGATGATTTTTATTAACAAAAAAATACAAAAACACCAAATGAGTAATGTAAAACATTCACAGACCATAAATTCTGTTTAACAATACTAACCACTACCACATTAGAGTTTATAAGCACCAAAGTGTGAATAATATATAGTTTGGATTTGATTATTGTTTATTATAATTTGTCCATAGTTAAGCAAAACTGAAGTGCTACCTCAGTTTCAATATGTCAGGCATTAACAATTGTTTTAGCTTCCTTGATGATTATTAAATTACTTGTGTATTAAAAACACACAGATTTTATGATTCATTAGAAAAAGCAAATTTCAGTTGAATTTAAGATATTCAAATGAAACCTTCGGATAAATTTGATGATCAGATTAAGAGTAGATATATTTCTATGTTAATTCTCGCTTGAAATTATTTACAAAATGTTTATAGATCAGCAAAAACCAATCAATGAGTTAAAATATAAGCAATAAATATGAAACAACAGTTGCATTTTATACCCTGTTCTAATTACATAGTTTTCTCTTATCTAATTTCTTAACAACTTAACATGGTACGGTAACTTGAAAACAGTTTTCTATAGATATATGATTCGAATTTGAATTTTGTTTTCTTTGTAACACCATCTCATAAGTAACTTTTTTCAAAATGTTAGGTCCTTCATTTTTTAGCTACGAAATAGTGTTCATAAACTAAGAGTCTTTCGCTATCTAAACATGTTTCCGATGTATAAATTCGTTTTCATGTGACTTAAAAGTTACCAATTACTCAAATATCTCTATTTTCTTGCTGACATTTGTGAATGTCTACATCTTATCTTCATGTGATTTTGTGCATAATCATTGTTGTAAGCCATAGAAGGATAAATGTAGTATCTATCTACAGGATTCAGAGTTGAGATCAGCTGTTAATGATTTTATATTTTGGGACAGTTTGGATTGCGTGAAATTAGTTCATGAAAACTAACATAAGATGGAGAATCAATGGTTCTTCAGTTTACAACATTACAGAACGTAAAACCAATAGAGACGATATATATATATATGACACCTGATAACTGAATGTGACATGTTTCAAACATGACATAATTATCGTAAGCTGACATTTAATTGACGTTAGGATGATAAATAAGTTTATTCTTGCTAATTAATTAACTAACCATTGATGTAGTTAAATAGATAAAATCAAATACAATGAGTAGGTAAACTGATTGTTATTCCATTAGAAATTACAAATTGGGTAGATCACATCACACAGACAAAAAGCAAGATGTCTCTTGAATCAATACAAAATGTTTGGAGGTTTTGTAATTGAGAAAGATGTTCTTTCAGACTGAATTTGGTGATGAAATATTAAAGTCACATTCAGAAGTGAACACGACATTAATTTATATATTGATCGGGAGTTGATGATTCATAGAATAAGGTGAGAACAAAACTAAGTGTTTATACTTCATAGATCTCGGATTAGGCGAGACAATGCTTAAAAATTCAGCCTTCATTTTTTGCCATTACTTCTTTATTTATCTATTTATCTTTCCACAAATCTTGTATTTTAACAGAACAATAGTCCAGGCCAGACGATATTGATTTGTATCCAATGTTATACATACATATAAAACAAACCCTTACAGTTAGTTTTTCAATTACAGTTGCATAAAATTAGTAAACTATCATAAAAATGGCAGTTACCTAGATATACATTTCGTCTTAATAAACAATTTTAGTGTTTGAACTTTGCTAAATATGTACACGTATGGATTTGATACTGAACACTTTCAATTAATACCGATGATTTAAGTTTATACATAGAAATCCTATTTCTTACCTTTATATTCATTTTTGTAGATAGCTCAAGAAGTATAATCTCAAACTTTCATATCTTAAACATTGTGAAATAATGTGGAATTCGGTAGTGATAAAGAATTATAGAATGAAAATTGTGTTCTATTTCATCCATTCAGTATCAGCTACCGACGCGTCCTAAGCTTTTTGTTTACTTGCATGTACAATTGCAGTATTGTTGTATTATACTTCAAAAATGATACTACATGTTCTAAAGATTATACTGATTATGCTAATGAACATTTTGCATAATTGATGGATCAAATAACACAGAGGTATGCGAGTGATAACCATTATAAAAAAGATAATCTCATAACAATTGTGGTTGTGAGCAGTTTACCTAACTTCACCTGTAGCTCTTCTAGGACTACTGCTATTCCTAAGCCCAGATAGAGGAGGATAGTTGGTCATGGGGTCAGCAATCTCATCCCGTTGCAAAACAAATTTGCCAAAAAACGCTAACCAGAATAAACAATTTAACCACTTAAAGACTTTCCAGGGAGTTGAAAGATCTTCATTTACAAGAATTATAACACACCATGGTGGAAACTGAGATGCTTCAGAAGTCACGAGACCGATGCCTCTCCTAACAACCGAGGTAACAATTAATATAGGTTCATGAAATGTTCGGACAATGTGGGAGACAGAGAGGACCATTCAAATAGTAGTGGAAATGAGGAAATACAACTTGGCGGTTCTCGGGATAAGTGAAACCCAGTGGACACAACCTGCACAGAAAAGGTTGGATTCGGGAGAGATACTGTTGTACTCTGGTCACGAAGAAGAAAATGCTTCACACACTCAGGGATTTCCTATGATGTTTCCCAAAGGAGCTAAAGAACGACTTATAGGATAGGGATCTCATGTATCCAGAATCTCCAAAGCACTCTTCAAAACAAAGATAGAGAGGGTCACGGTGAATGTTATCCAGTGTTATGTACCCAACAAAGATGGCAATAATGATGATAAATATCAGTTTTACGGCAGACTTCAATCGATCATAGAGATCATAGGAAAAAACCTGATCATGCTGATGGGAGATTAAACAAAAAAGTCGGAATGGACAACAATAGTTATGAGGATATCATGGGTCAATATGGACTAGGCAAAAGGAACGAGAATGTTGAGAGATTTGAAAATTTATGTGAATTCAACAAAATAGCTATAGGTGGTACAATATTCCCTAACAAACACATACACAAAGCTAAACGGGTCTCACAGGATTACACTACACGGAACCAGATCGATCAATAAGAAAATCAAAAAGGTCAACGGAAGTCGTGGAAACCAAGGGAGGAGCTGAAACAGCTTCATATTACCACATAGTTGTGGACAAGATGAAACTGAAGATAAAGAAGCACTGAACAATTAGAGAAACAGCATAAGGAATGTTTGATGAAACCTTCATACGAGTTACTAACAGACTCAACCCATTCAACATTACTCTCCACAACAGGTTCCAAGCTTACAGGATCTATTGAAAGAAGAGAAAACTAATATGGAGAACTAACTTTAATGTATCAGGAAGTGCTAAGCAGCAAGCAGCATCACCTTAAGGAACGAATCTCTATTGAAATCCTGGACAAGATTCAAGAAAAGACGAACAAGAGGAGACCAATTAACAACAGACGAACAAGAGCAGAAAAGGTCAAGGCAAATGCTGAGTATACAGAAGCAAACAAGCAAGTGAAGAAGAGCATTGGAGCCGACAAGCAGAAAAATGCAGAAGAACTAAAAACAACAGTGCAAAACACTGTAAGAGAAGGAAATTCGAAACAACGATATGACACTTTGAAGAAAGTAGCAGAGAAATATGGTTAACAAGAGAGACCGGTCAAGGACAAAGAAGGAAAGACAATCATGGAGATTCAAGAATAGAGGAACAGTTGAGCAGAATACTTCAAAGAACTGATAAATAGACCAGCTCTATTCAATCCACCGGACATCGCAGCAGCACACACAGACATTCCCAAAGATGTCACTCCACCAACGATAGGAGAAATCAGAATGGCCTGTCTGATTTTCAACAGTGTGTTGTTGAAGCAGATGAGAGATTCAGTGAATATCCAACTTCGAAATCAACAAGCTAGATTCCGTAAGAACCGATCGTGCACACACCAAATCGCAACACCACGAGACAATGTTGAGGAATCAGTTGGATGGAATTCCTCACCACACATCAACTTCATCGACTTTGAGAAAGCATTTCACAGAGTAGATAAAACAACCTGAACAACCTACGTCGACATTCTGGTGTACCTGAAAACAGTGTCAGCATCATACGGAATTCTTACGATAGACCATACTGCAGAGTCGTGAATATAAGGCAGCAGTACAGATGCATTTCA